TTTTTTTTTTTTTTTTTTTTTTTTTTTTTTTTTTTTTTTTTTTCCTAATGAAACCCGGGATCGACGATTATTTCGGAGAAGATTCGTTTCATCGTGCTATCATTACCCATATATAGGTATTATATTGTACCTGACAGGTGTGTTTGTCGAAATTACTTGTTTTTTCTCGTGATTTTCCATGAAAGTACAACCGGTAATTTTATTTACTCTCCACGATGGTGTTTTCATAGCACACCTGTATATATATTATGTACAGCAACAACAACAAAGAGAGGGAAAACCGACAATTTGCCAATCGAGCCAATGAATTTCGCCAACCTGTGTACATACCCTCAATGGGAATTTAAATTGAATTCAATTGAGAGCTGCAATTACGCTGATATACAATTAGCTCGATGTATGGACACGGGGCTCTTGGCTCCTATATGAGCGAACGATGATGTTTTTAATCCCAACAAGCAGACAATGATCAGCTGTGCTGCAATTAAGGGCTCTTTCGGTAGATATCAAGGGTCCATACGTGATGCAAAATCACTAGTATTTCACGCAGTTGATGTATATAATGTATACATGGTTCGACCGAAGAGCGCTCCTTAAACGAAGAACACGAGTGTAGAGCGAAAAGGAGAGGAGAGAGGGAAAAAAAGGAAGAGGCGAGTCTTCAAAGCTGGGCGAAGAAATGACTCGAACAAAACGCTCGGGGGCCCAAAACATCAGCGACGAAAGCGCAAGAATAAATCTTCCACGCGCTTTAGGAGACAAAAAAGAAAAAAGAAAAAAAAAAAAAATCGAGGGAGCCGCTTCTTCGCGCTCGTCATTTCTGTATACGCGATGATGCTCGTGCTAAAATTAAAACGAGCTGCACGGGGATAACGTAGGTATTATTTGGTTTGCGGAAACTCCTCGTTTTCCGATTTCACGAATTTCTTGGACGATAACAACCTAAAAATTCAGCTACCGTAAGAGCACAATTTCCTCCACCCCCTCAGATACTCTCCCCCGACTCCGTATGGCTTAGCATAATTCGATTTTAAGTACTTGGGCCTCGGGGCCCTCTGATTTATTGTTCCCATGGAAATATGAAAGCCCCGGAGCCATGAACCATCGGACCGCCAAAAAAAAGGCAGCCCCGCACTCCATATTATATGTATACTCGAAGAGACCCGATAGGGAAAAGGTTTTTTTTTAATTTTTTTTTTTTCTCACTCTGCCTCGAAAAGCTGGATGGTTGCACGATTCGGCCCGCATGAGACCCGATTTGTCGTGGCCCAAGGAAGGAGGGAGGGAGAGAAAAATCAAAAAGATTTCGGGGCTAGTCTCGTTCAAGAGTTCGTGGATGGAAGGCAATGGGAGACGGAGAACGAAAAAGAAACAGACAGACCGAGAGAGAGAGAGAGAGAGAGGATTTACGGGTGACGTGATGTTACATGTGTTTCGGATTGTAGATTTCCGGTTTGATTGCGACGACGCTGCAGAGGAAGGCCTTTACTCACACGGATCAACCTGATCGCGGGCAAAGAACAGTTTTTTCATACGTGTAACTATGGCCCCACCACTGAGTCAATTAAAACTCGGCGCGGTTTATCGAATCGCGTGGTTAACTTGACGAAACTAAATCGCGCACCTTCTGTATAACGATGTGACGTGTGTACACAAGATGAGTGTGTTTCAATTTGTTTGGAAAAAAAAAAGAGTCAATAGGAAAAAAAAGCTCGCAAGCTCCGAGGCAAAGTGTGTAGACTACGTGTAAGTGATGGTATGTATAATATAGGTAAGTATCCAACACGAGGTGGTTCCGTCGTGCCTGTGTGTACAGGGTCCTCGACCCCTCTCTCGGGGCCCTATACACAAGATCGCACATGTGGCGTGCGCGAGCCAATTACATCGTGCACTGCGCGGCCTATGGCTGCAATGTACCTATCTCGGATCGCTCTCGCGTATATATATATAGAACCTCGTGTTCTTCCTGATGGGCACTTTGTTATTTTCTCGCCCCACGTAGACCTATGCGGAAGACTGACGGAGGAGCGCAAGGTACGCGAGGTTGCGTAATAAAAAGCTTGCAGGTATTATATTATATAGTTGCAAGCTTGGGAAATACCAAAACAATAATCATTTTCCTGGTTGAAAGGATGCGAGACAACGAAACCCGGTATAACATCGATCCGTCAATGGTGACGAAAGGTAATGGAAAAATAAAGAATCACGTGGATGGTAAAAAACCAGATATCCTTTATATCCGTGTGATTGCACTGGCACGCGGATATTTTGGGTTTTCGACATGTCATATATACATATACTCGTGCATCCTCTCCTTCTCTGTATATATATATATATATGTAGGTAGGTACACACATATAGTTACATTCGATGGCGAGCGAGGGTGATTGAGTGTCCCGTGTATACATACGTACACCAAGAGACAGGAAGGAAAAAGTCATTAGAGAGTTTTTCAATCTGTCTTCTTCGTCAGTTTTCATTTCAAGGGACCGAAAATTCGGGAAACGCCGAGCTTTTTTAAAACGCGAGGTTAGCCGGGTGACGCGTTTCCTCTTTTTAAAAAAAAAAGAGCCGAGGGGGAGGGGTAGCTTCCCTCACTCTATACAGTAATCCGCCGTGTACCTATTTGTGGTGGTCGGAAGACGAGATTTTCTTGTTCCAATTTAGGTGTATTATATTACCTTACACGACAGAGCGAAAACAGCGAGTATATACCCTACGACATACAAGTACTTACAGGGATGAGGAGTAAATTTATAAACAGGGCACCATAGCTACGGTGGCGTTGGTATCTATTTGGCGTTTTCTCGAAATAGACGCGAGAGCTTTACGTGTTTTCCCGACCGCGTGGAGCCTACATATTATATACAGTGGTTGAAAAATCCGCATTACCACGCTCAGGGGGCAGGGATTATGATATTACGCGCTAACTAATGGCCACACCGGCTGTTTTGATGAGCTATCGGCTACGTGTTTTCTCTTCCGAGAGTCAGAAATACATTGCAACGCGACCCGAATCAAAAATAAAACACATCTTGGATGAATTTTCGGCCTCACTTGAAATTCGTGTACGCCCGAAGGAAATTAAAAAAAAAAAATTGATTTTCTATACAGAGTACGCGAGTCCTCTCTGGAAAAATTTTAACGAGCCCTTGCTCGCCATACCTGCACCTTGTGCCCGGAAATACTGATATCGAAAAATATATCGAGCCCCCACGCGGATGAGCGAGTGAAATCCGCATCGACGAGGAGCACCTCGTTATTGAAAAGCCACAGCTAAAAATCCATCCATACGAAGTGTGTACGTATATATGTATAAGAGATGTGCGAACCGCATTGGGAAGGATTTGAGGAAAAAAAAAAACCGGTAAAGGGGGAAAAAAAAAAAAAAAAAAAAAAAAAAAAAAAAAAAAAGAAAAGAAAATGTGGAGCACGTCAGCGATGTGGCGAATCCACCTCCATTCGAAAAAAAATATTTCGAAAACAGGAACTAAGCAGCTGGAAAATTCCTGGTGCGCTCGTGGCGGAAAGTAGTTCGCTGAAATGAAAAACTAAAAGAAAAAGGGAGAAAAAAAATCTATTACGTACAGCTCTCCGGATCTCACGTGCTCTCGTTTTTTTTCAACTCCTCCAGAGAGGGGTTGCGTTCATCAGCGTTCCATTTTTTTTCTTTTCCTTTTTTTTAATTGCAACGTAGCGCATGCCGCGCCATCGAGCATCTTCTTCTTCTTCCTTGGTTTTTTTTTATTTATTTTTTTTTTTCCATACACCCGTCACGTACGTATCAGCAGAAGCTTAGACGAGAGAGAGAACGCACGCTCATTACGCCGTGCCAAGGAAAATTCTATGAATTTCTCCGCTCCCGAGCTCAGCATCCTTTCATTTAGCTTCCTGGATTTATTTATTTTCTTCTTTTTTTTTTTTTCATTTCCATCCATCACCCGCGTACAACGAGCGAGTCGAGATCCATTCGAGCGCAATATGGTCAATGGAAGCGCCAGTCGAGGAAATAACTAATGAGCATCAGATGCCGATTCCTATTGTCACCGATTTTCGCTCCTATACACCGCGACACGGTTGGGTTTCATTTTTTCATAATTATTAATTAATCTTTTTGTCCGCCAACATAATTATTAATTGGAATCATCTCGTTAAGGAGATCAACGATATTTCCACGAAACTCCAAGAAAATCACGTGATAACACCCACGTGCTGTATGAAAAAAAAAAAAAAAGACAATAATCAAACGAAAAATGGAAAAACCGGTATACGTGTGCGTACACATGTGTATTATAAAAGAGTGGCGCGATAAGAAATGACGGAAGGAAAAAAGAAATCGGTGGGGATGCACCGAGGGGGAGGAAGCCGTGCGGAATGACGAAAGAAGAAGCGAGAGAGAGAGGGACGGATGCTATCTCCCGGCTTTTATTACGTCTTCTCCGTGGACGTAATTGCTGTCCTTAGCGTTCCACCACATCCGGCCCCGGAGACCCCGAGCGCCTCTCCCCCGTCAATTACACAGAGTCCTATTCTCTCCCCGAGCTTTTTAGGGCCCCATACATACACTGCCATGCGACACGTACATATACACACACGCGCCATGTCCACCACGTGCACCTACCATACACCTATATACATGCACGTAGAGGTAAACCTCGGCCCGTTTTATTCGCCATGCAGCAGGTGAGTTGGCAAGGGGAGGGAGGAAGATACAGGGGCCCCATACATAATATATATACGTATAGGCGTTACTGTCAATTATGAATCCCGTCTATTCCCGGAAGGCTCGAAATTATAGAGTGAGATGCCCACTATGGGCCCTCTCCTCCTACTCGCTCTCACTTCTTATGCGTGTACAATATACACTCAGACCTCGTGGCCTCTCCGTCGAAAACTCTTCTCTCTCTCTCTCTCTGTATAATATGCAATAAATATAGGTATATGTAGGGGTAGATACGTTTGTGTGTGTGAGTTTTTGCCTAAGAATCCACCCCGGCGTTCTAGTCCCTACACGGATACGCGCATATATTTATAGTATAGGCACAATTTCTCGACTCTTCGAGGTTTTATACATATAGTGGGTATCGAGGGATGAGACGAGGGCCTGATGTCCGCAACAGACGCCACGCGCGTTTTATAGATCCGACGTGTGTGTGTGTATATATATTAGCCATTATATGCCCCATCGCACATAACTATACGTACCTACATACACCTATCTATTCGTTCCGCGAAAGACACGCGGCATCATCGTGTTGGGTGTCGGTTGGCGATGAGGAGGCCGTCGAAAGAAATGGCATTGGATAGCTCGTATAGGGTGGGTGTATATATACAAGCGATTCGGCATGAAACTTAATTGAGTTTGCTCGACTGTGAAATATTCCGCCTTTCTTTTTTTTTTTTTTTTTTTTTGCAAACTCGCTCGGAGACACGGTAATTCGAGATTAAGAGCCAGTCACGGTAAGGAGACACGCTTACTTTGAATATGCCCTATAGGTACTTGCGGCGATATTTCCGTGCACGCGTAACGATCTGTACGTGGTTGGTTTTTTTGCGGTCTCCAGATTTTTTTTTCCCTCCCTGTTTTACAAATTCACGTGAGAACCAAAATAACGTTGTAGATGAACAATTTGTTGGCCGTTTGAATTTATGAACAAAACAATCCTAACGCTTAAAAAAAATCAAGAGTAAGTGTAAACAAAGTATACGTGTTAATTAAATGGAACGTGTAAAAATTAGAATAAACGAACGCGTACTCACCAATTTCGGGGAAGCGGTCGCAGTCGAGCATGTGAGGCCAGGGCAGATTGAGCTCCCGGAGGGTGTTCTCGCAGTCGTGCCTGACGGACAGGCAGAGGGGCTTGCAGGCCGGTATCTGCATGGCCACGTGCTCGGAGCACACGGGCGTGAAGACGGAACAGAGGAAGAAACGTAGATGCCTCGAGCAGTTGTACTGGACGAGGGGCATCAACGGCGCCAGCTGCAACGAAAACCGACCTTTCGTTATCATCTATAATCATCCTTTCCTTCTCCTATCATTATTGTTTTATTATACTTTTGTTCCATTTGTGTGTTTCCTTTAATTCGCGCAGCGGCGCGTCCGAGCAATTTTTTACTCTTTCCCTTTTTTTTTTTCTGTAACTGTAAGGTCGCGTGCGCATCTGCAAAAGAATTTATGACGCCTAATGCAATTTAAGTATATGCGATATATAATTAAGACGTGCGCAAGTGTATGAGAGTATGCGTTGCCCCTTTAAATATACGAGTCGATTTTTTTTTTATAGCACCAGCTGTTTGGGTCAGTTTCATTATAATTCTTAAGTATTGCGGTTACTGTGCGGTATCCCAAAGCGGCTATTGTAATGAGATGTGCGTTCGTTCAATGAGTGTTTTTTATTTTTCTATTGAAATTTTCAATACAAACAGCGCAGGTAAATGTATATATTTATTGCACCAACCGTTAATATTACAGTTAAGCCATATACTCAGGATTCCCTCGAAGCGATCATTCATTATGTTATTGTTATTTTTATTATTGTACGATGGAAAAGTTCTTCTAAAATTACGTGGATGATGACTGCTAAGCCAATTTATTCACGATAGTTACTATCATAATCATGGTAATCAAACAAGAAAACTTTGACAAGTAGAAGTTGATCAGTTATCACCATAATTATTAGCATCTGAAATTTTTTTTTTTTAATTAATAAAACGATAACTGTGGGAAATTTTTCGGCACCAACGATATGATATACATTTACTAGAAAAAAAATTAGGGTAAGGGAAGCGGGATGTCAAACTGATTTACGATTTTGATTTTTTCTACAAAATATATTCATTGCATAAATTAAAATGTTTCAAGATATAACTCTTTAACAAGAATTTACTTAATTTTTGTTACAGGTTTTAATCCAAGTATTCAGAGCACCTCCAAGCCATTTCGAGTGAAATCTCACACATACTTGTACCAGAAGACTGTGGACCAGAGATAAATCTCCACATTGTATCCCTAATGTAATGAATTCACTACAACTAAGATATCTTCCTCGTGATGGTTTAACACGTGATTTTAAGAAACGTGTGATTCTTCGTGTTTTAGATTAGCAGCTGGCTGCAGATATATTGCTACCCGATAAACATTGCGCCACCCTCGCGGTGTCGGATGCTGAATCCGAGGACGTCGACCAACAGTCCACCACCGCAGCAGTACGTACCTCAAAATCTAAACTCATGGAGAAATTTACGCGGAGATTTCCCTCGAACTGGACCCCGATACTCGAGACCATCGAAATGGGCGTCGATAGCGCTGGCATGGGTAGCTTTTTCCGCGATGTGTGGAAGTACATCGTCGGTGCTTTATACCCCGATGGTTCCTTTTGCTTGGAGAGCGTCATCAGCGAAACCGACTTTGAGCTGGTCTGTCGGTACATCGTCGTGGCTCGTTGCGACTACGTTTACCAGAACGTGATGGGCGTGCGACTCGAAAACCGAACGAACCCACCCCTGGGAATGCCACTGCCCAATTGCATAGCGATTCCCATAAACGGTATCGGGCGCATCGAGGTCCTGAACGGCGCAGCCAAAATCTGTCCTCGCGGCGAGGAGTCGCGCGACTGGATTCCACACGAAATTGGCCGAGCGATGCTCAGGTTTAGCGCTCTCGTCCACGTCGCTGAAGAACGAGGTGTTGTTCGCACCTCCTATCTCACGCGCGACGTTAGGGGTACACCCTGGTACGCGATAGGAGTTATCCAGCACGAGAACAAAGTCGGGATCAACGCTTGCAACGTTCAATTGGTTAGTTGTTTCGCTGAGGCCTCCGACTGGGAGTATGCCTTGGCTGGGATGGTCCAACGACAGTTTAACGGTGACATTCCGGAACTAGGCGCCTCGCGTTTTTACCGTTTAGCAACATCTTTCTCGATAAACCGCTTCCAATTTTTCACCCAAGCTTAGGTACGTTCCTCGCTTCCATATACGGTCTATAGTTTTAAATTATAAATTCCACGCGATATAATCGCTTTTATAAATGTTTTTATTTTTGTATTTTGAGATGTTTGATGTACACGTAGAGGAATAAAAAAAGCGAATAATCCAATGTTGTCTTGTTCAGTTTTTAAGAAATAAACAGACATTTTCACGAACAGACATCAGATGATCAGAGAAAGCAAATTAGCCGCGTGCGAGTCAAGGACGAAATTCGAAATAGGTACATTGATCTCCGGCATATTGTGTTGTTTTCTCAAAAAGATGGTTCGTATGCAACTATTACGTAAACGCGAGCGTAGGTGTAAAACAAATAAGAACAAAACGAAAAAAAAAAAGAAAAAAGAAAAGAGAAAAAAAGTAAATGCAGACGTGTCTTTAAAAGACGATGCAATTTAAAGGCACGCGGTAAGACCACAGTGTTCAGGGTAAGGCCTCGAGTATGTAATAACGTAAGGAACGGATATCGCGTTCGAAGAGACGGGCCCGCAGACAAACCGAGACGAAGAAGACGAGAGCGAAAACAGAAAGAACAAAAGTGCGAAGAAGAAGAAGAAGAAGGCGACTTGAGATATAACGAGCGGCGGGCATCAGGGGTAATTATCCCGCCCATTCTTCCCGCCTCTCGCACACCTACGTACCTACGTGGTGTTACCAGGTGGAAATCCGTACACGAGATGCGTGTGCGTGTGTATGGTGTGCGTACCTATATTGTATGCGGGCCGTGCAGCTTTCGGCCGATTCGCCCATTACCGCGAGCCTCCGCCAAATTACAGTTCCCATGAAATTACGTGGCCGAGCATCAGCTCCTCGGGCTCTTGTTGCCCTCTCCTTCTATACACTACCGCAGGGCCTTCTTCTTCTTCTTCTTCTGAGTTGTTCGTTTTCGACAGCAGAGCGAGAGAGAGAGAGAGATAGGGGGCAAAAGTAGTAGGTATTACCGTGAGGTAGTTCTCGCGTGCAAGTCCACTCCATCTCCTCCAGGGGCGATAGCACACGCACGCCTATTACCCGGTGCGCGAGCGTATCCGAGGCAAACCTCTTTTATCCTTTTGTTACGGCCGTGTGCGTGTTTATGTCTCTTTTTCTCGGCTTACGTGTACCTCGAGGCACACGTATTACGTGTATTGGTGTGCCATTGCACTGCGCCTGCTGTTTCAATATTATTTTACCTGTACCGCCGAGCACGATGCTTATAGGTGCATACAACGTACGAAAATATATATATATACACATACAGGAAAATGGGTGACTGCTAAGATCTAAAATATATATAATAGTACAAGTTAATATGATGATACAGCATGGGTATAGACATTTTTCGTTGATACGTGTAAAAATGGACTTGATTAATCGTGTCGAGGGGTAGTTTTACAGATGCTAAGAGCAACCACAGATCCCTGTCATTATTTTCTTTATTGTCCCTCATCTGAGCTTTCCTTGCAAGCTGCAACTACAATACACTTAATTTTCCATTTTCATACGTAGGTACATATACATATCCGTAGAAAATATACGCGTACGTATAGACACACCTCACAGCGCGAAAATATGACCATAAGTATGAATCGGCCGGCAAGTAGCGATTTATATGCACCATTTCCGTATATATACACGCGCCCCAGAGATATTATATATGTGGTAGCTTTGCAAACGTATACCCACACGTATATATAGGGATAGAAACGATGATTGCCGCGAAATAATTAGAGCCGGTGTTCTTTTAATTTCACTCCCGAGATGTTATAGGTGTACAATAATCACCCTCTACCGTGCTGGTCTGCACACCGTGCAATCATTCATCTTAATCGCGACGTCGTTGTTCGCACGGTGGTCTCTGACGGTTTGCAATCCTTTTTTTTTTCGTGCGCTCCTTTGGGTTGTTTTTCAATTCTAAATTACCCAACTCCACGGGGATAATGGAGCTCGATTTGCTGCTTATTGCCGTCTACGTTCTATGTAACTTTTGTTCTCTTTTTTCAGAGCGAAATAAGAGTATCAGGATGTGCGACATTTGCAGCGAGGAAAGAAAACAGAAGTGCAGCGAGTAAAAAGTACACTGTATACTATACCTACGATACATGACGTATATAAAGTGGCCATTGTCAACGTAATGATTCCAAAAACAATTGCGACCAACTGTCATCGGTATTAGCAAGTATAGAATTAATCGCTCGACTCATCCGTGCTGAAATCACGTCACATGTAATACATAATTACGGGTACAGAGCGACGCAATAACATATAATGTGACCACTCGATGGTGATGTGTACAGTGCGACTCTGGGGGCAATTGAATGACAGCTGCCGTGAAAAGGACCCAGCGACAAAAGCTCGACACCGTTCACATTATGCGCGACAAAAGCGTGAAAGCACATTATAATCCCGGCCTCTTCTTCTTCCCTCTCGTACCCTTTTCGCGCTTTTCACGCCACTGTACGTATACCACGTGTACGGGGCTCTTCAGAAGCTTCTTGCCACTTGATGAGCCGCTCTTTGCACCTCAGACAAGCAAGAAGAAGCGACAATCCGGCCAACCGACGCTTTGGTCGTTCGCTATTATACACTAAGGCGCAGGCATATACAAAAGCTGTACACCTATTACGCGCGCGTGCTTGCTTTGTTTTTTTTTTTTTTTTTTCGCATCAGAGTAGGCAGATCAATGAAACCTTTAACCCAAGCACGTGTACGTTCAACGTTCACCATTTTAACGAGCGCTATCGTAATATGCCTGTCGCAATTTCCGAATTTCCGTGTGTACCA